CTTGTATTACATTTGCAAGCTTTTTGACTTAACAAATAAAATTTCATTGACAGTTATAGAAAAAAGAACTAAAGAAAAATAAAAATATCCGTAAATAGGTCAAAACAGCTCAAAACGAGTCAAAATATTTCAAAATGTTTACCAAGTACCTATAGAAAATGACAAAACAAATATATGATGTACATTTCAAGTACCTGATTTCCGGTAGACAAATTTATGAGGAATCTTGTATGACATTTTAAAATCTTAGATATTTAAATAAAAATTTTTTGAATTTCTAACTCAAAAAAATTTGGAAATTTCGTAAAAATTTGAATTTTAAACAATCATAAAAAATTATTGTGGATTTACGCTCAGATTTTTTTTTAATTTACACTAACAACAATTTACGAAGAACTTTGTATCACATTTTCAAGGTTTTTGACTGATTAAACATTTTTTTGTAGAATATTGATCTTATAATTTCAATAAAACTAATAATAATCGAAAATGTCATATGTCTATAAATAGTTCAACATGTGTCAAAATATTTTGAAAATGTTATGGTGTATTTAGAAATTGTCAATATAAACGTTCAGTGAAATTGTCAAGTATCTATGGTAATTTTTTTAGAGTTACCTACACCAAAAAACAAAATAAATTTTGTCAAAAACCAATTTTACGTGAAAATTTTCAAAATCAAATTACTAAAAAACCAATAACTTTGTTACCAACTTTATTGTGTTTGGTTTTGTATTAAGAACGGTAGGTAATATTGTATGGCTAATTTATATATATTATAGTATATTACAGTAAAATCGATGGAAATTAAAAAAATGTATTAAACAATGTAGCTGCAAATATACAATAGGTAAGTAACGTGTTTTATAATCAATTTCCTAAATAAGTTGTCATCAACACATTTATAGCACACAGCGAGGTTAAAATATAATAAGGCTTATTTATATTGTAGTACAAAAATATGTTAGTAGTGGGCGTTAGGATAGTGTTTAGTTATGGCTCATTAGCTATTTTCATGATTTGCACGATATGGTTCGTTTAAACGATACCTGTATGACAACATTTCCAAATGTATCTATTCCTATAGTTATAGTACCTATCTACTATTATTTATATCAACTCGTCATGTGTGAACTCATAAGTAAATTAAAATTAAAATATATTAGGTATGCATAATATGAGTCTATTTTTTTCAAGTATATTAAAAACTAACTGAACGGAAAATTACTTTTGAACTCTAACCGGTCATTTTTGTTAAAATAATGAAATGTTATGAATGCATTAAATAAAATTAATTTAATGTTAAACGAAAGAATTTCTGTCATTACTCGCTTGAAATGATCAAGTTCTTTGAGAATCTTTTGTGATGTGTAAATTAGCGTTAAGCATTTTCTTCACTAGTATGGCAGGGTGATATCATAAATTTCATATTCGTAGAGGTGTAAGAATAGGCCAGCGGAATGCCTATCTATTTTTACCATATTTCTTTCATGGGTCTTCTATGCTTTCCCCTCCAATAAGAACTCAAGCAACAAACAGCTATTTACCTAGGGATTCGGACTACAAACCTCACGAGCATCACTATATACTGACACCACGGACAGAAACCAAAATGGTAAGTGTGATACCTATGTAAAATATATAACCAAGACAAATTATATTAAAGGTGCGCTTATAATATAGATATATTGAAAACGTATTATTACGTATTATGTTGCAGGACGAAGATGACCAAAAAGTAGCCAGTACGTATAAAATTAAATAATTGATTTTGAAACATAGCATAATAGTATATTAGTATATTACTATATGCGTACTTGTTAAACATATATGTCCAGTTTAAATTTGAATTATCTATAAAAACTAAAAAAAAATTTAACTAGATACCTCCTTTTATATTAGAAACTAGGTAATTTTAAACATAATCATTTATAAACTAACACCTAAGTTGGTTCCCAACCTAATTTAATTGTACATTTTCAAAATCAAAATAATTATAGTTCAATGGATAAGTGATGGTTGTATAAAGTTTTTTCACCTAAGTACCTAACTTAAATGCAAATACTTCCTATAAATATTAAATACATTATATTCAATAGAATACAATTAATAAAATATATATATGTTATACTTACGCACAAAATTATAGAAATATACATTACCAGGAAAATTATGACTTAGGCTAATACATAGGATTTTCCACATTACAAATATTTTATAAATTACAATACATTATAGTATATAACGTTATATGCACAGTGGTTGCAATCCGTCACGTTTATAACCAAGCGAAAAATGCGGCTGTTAAAAGAAAACGCAAATCGCTAATTTTCTATTGATTTTAAACGAGACTGGGTTGGAAAACTATAACGCGGCGTATTTACAAGAATTTAGTGTAATTAATAATTGTGTATAGCTAATAATTGTGTATAATTAATAATTATAAATTATATAAAAAATGTAAGTGTTTTTTCATTTTTTACTAATTAATGCAACACTAGAATAGAATAATTTTTTTTTTAGTGGTGGGAGGGTGGATAAAGTTCTTTACGCTTAGGTAGTGGGTTTGAGCAGCCTTGCTTTACGACTATCAAGATGTAGATACCTACCTAATTAATGTCATGGTCAAGTAAGTATAAAATTCCAAGTAATCATCATTGTACCATTTAAATCGTTTATAGGTATGTTCAACAATAAAGGTAACACGTAATATTTCAATCACATGATGCAGAATTTTTTTTGGAGGTTTTTAAAGGCATAAAGGGCTTAATATTACAACTATTTTTCAAAATGGTTGACGCGCACGTGCAACAATTCAATTTTTTTTTAATTGCACTCTCTTTTTGTGTTTGAGTTTGAATATTACTTTAATTTTTTAAGTAACTTTGACATAAGGTTTATTTTCATTCTTAACAATTGACTTATTAAGAGTCAGTTAAAGTTTTGATTTATACATGTTGTGTTTAATATTTATCGTAAGTTTTAACAGTATATATTATCTACAACAATTCTTCAATGTTCAGTGTAATTTTGTATGTTATTTTTTTAAATTCAGGTGTGACGGTTTGTATCGTAAGTAAAGCACATTTACATTATTTTCGCCAAATTATTAACTAAAATGTCTAGTATAATTTGATTGAAAACTTAAGCAAATTCAACATGCATAAAACGAAACTTTACCTCACTCTCAATAAGTCAATTTTTAAGATAGAAAAAAATGTTGAAGTCAGTTGATTAAAAAAAACGTTGGCAATTTAAATTCAAACTAAAAAAAAACGGGGCAGGGTAAAATTTCAATAAAAATTTGTTTTATTAAACATGTGCAGAAGACATTCAAGAAAATTTCAATTTTCAAAAATATTTATGAATATTATATAATAATATGTTTATTTAGTATTTACTATAAATAATTATAAAAAATATATTTTTTGGGGTTCTTATTAATTTAAGAACAACCAAATGTTGTGAAGAGACGAAGGAGCTGTGGAATGACAAAGTTTGAATAGGTACCTCTGGTTTATAGTTTTATACAGTGTAGTGTTCAACAGTTCAACGGTAAAGGTAACAAATATTTTGTACACATGATGTTTTTTACTACAAAAAGGATTCAAATTACCCCTATTTTTGAAAAAAATTAATCATTTTATAAAATACATCAATTATTTATATCAAGGTAACAAATTTAAAAATAATAATGCATAGACAATTTAAATTAAATACTTTATATTTAGATCAAATTAATTTAGTTATCGTTAACTTTCTTTTTTCTATTTCTGAATCACAGCTTCCATGACAAATAATAGTCACGTACAATTTGAATACATTTAATATTATATACCTATTAATTATTGATTTTTACAAATAATATAAAGTTTGGAAGTTAACAAATGTAGCACACTATACCTAAACCTATTCTATAGCTTAAAATGACCAATATTTCACGGATGAAACTTGATCAAAAATGCCGTTTAAGTTTATAGCCTTAGCCTAAGCAGGCTATTTTCATACAAATTAAAAACCTTTGCAGATCATGCCATAAACAGACTTCAGTGTAGACAAATCATATACCTATTTCATTTAGAATGATGTATTCTTCAGGTGTAACATATTAAATAATTTTATATTATAATTAAGTTATAAATAATAAGACATTATATAACATCATTCTTGAATTACATGTAATGATTAATATTTTGGCTGTAAAACAATAACTACTTTAAAAGTCAATAATCTTATTTGTTTTAAAGTCATGCGAAAGGCGTTTCAAATGTTCGACACTTCTAAATCTGGTTTTATTGACACATTAAAAATTAGTACCATATTAAATACTATGGGTCAATTATTCGATGATTCAGAATTAAACGAACTTATAGAAGAAGTTGATCCAGATGGTAAACTATTATTTACAACTGTAACCATAAGAATTTATATATAATACCTATTATATTTTATTATAGCAACAGGAAAAGTTAACTTTGATGGGTTTTGTGAAATCGCTGCACATTTTCTTGAAGAAGATGATGCTGAAGCTATGCAAGAAGAACTAAAAGAAGCTTTCCGACTTTATGACCGTGAAGGTAATGGATACATTACTACTGCTACACTAAGAGAAATATTAGCAGCATTAGATGACAAATTAGGTCCAGAAGACTTAGATGGTATCATTGCTGAGATTGATACAGATGGATCAGGCACAGTTGACTTTGATGGTAAATATAAATACTATAAGCTATAAAGTACTGTTTAATACTTACCTTGAAATCACTTTTCATTTTCAGAGTTCATGGAAATGATGACTGGAGAATAAAATGACAAGTTTTTATCTGAGGATTTGAAAATTTTTTTTAATGATTGAAAATTATGATAACAATAAATTATCTGGATTAATTTTTATTGTTTATTTATTATAAGTTTATTATAAATTTAACTGAATAAGAAAACTGTAATAAATGCTAAATTCATCTTAATTCAAAATAAATCATAAAATATTAGTATTAGTATTACTTTGACCCAATATCATCATTGTCTGGTTTTTTGCGTTTTTCTGGATTTATTGGACAAGCGTCATCTGACTCTTCAGCACTAATATTTGCTTGTTGAAGAGCTCGTACAAATTCTTCCATGTTTCCTTGATTAGCTGCACTTACTGCTCCTTCTCCTAAATCAAACTGTTGAACCACAGATCCTAGTTGCCCAGTTTGTAAAGCATTACTAAACATACTTACAGCCTAAAAATGAAATATTTAAAATAATATATTTATAAAGTTTAAAAACAAAATATTTTATACACTCAAAATATGCACTGTAAAAAATAGGCCTACCCAAACCTTAGTTGAGCCTATGTTTATTTATATAATTCTTAAACAATAACAGTATACACTATATAGTATATACTATACATTTTTACTAAATGTTTATAAGACCAGTTGCCATACACTATAACGTTTTCAAAATATTTTGACTCTTTTTGAGCTATTTAAAGGTATGAGAAGTTTTCAAATTTTTTTAAAATTATTGTTGATAAATAGTTTTTAGCTCGGTCAAAAAACTTATGCTTAGTGATCATTCTCTAAGCTCTACAAATGGATAAAAATTTCATAAAATATTAATTTTCTATAAATATAGACAAATAAAATTTAGCTGGGTTAAAAAGCTTGAAAATGTAATACAAGGTACCTCATAAGTTGTTACAATTGCAATTCAAAAAATACATTACACATAGGCAGGACTTTTTTTTACTATCATTTAATGTTAAAATGTTGACAAAATTCATGAAAATCATGAAAATGTTCAAATTATTTTGCAGTTCAAAAATGTATAAAATGTTCAACTTATATTTGCTATATATAGATTAAAAATTTAAAACAAATATACTATAATATATTTTATACACACAATATTTTCATATGCAATTTTCGCAGGAAAATTAATTCAACCTACTATATCACTTATGTTTAATAGTAAAATAAATTACTTAATTAGCAATAATATCATAAAATATACTGCATAACGGTACCCACTTTCTCAGCTCCCCCCCCCCATATTAAGTAAATAAATTCTATTAACTCTCAAAATTAAAATCAAAGCATTTTTACTGTTCCCAAAGGTAATGACAAGACACTAAAATAAAATAACACACCTTGTAAAATCAATAAATTCATCGCTCAGAATCTAAAAGGTATTACTACTTTTACTTTACTTCAATCTCAACATTAACTAAATAATATAGTATCTGTTTTGTTATTATTAGTTATTTTATAATAATATGTTATGTTGTTATAACTCGTAATAGTGTACAACACTACAACCAAGGCTTAACATCTTTGTACATGGTGCATCAATTAGATATATAAATAAATAAATTATGATAACATTATGAAACATTCATGATTATAAATATAACAATTTCCTGTTATGTTATAATTATTGTTATCATAATGTGAATATTGTTAATATCAAAATACCTTAAAAAATTTAATTTATTAGGCGTACTTTCTCATAACTTGCTACACTAATATTAAATAAATATGTAATTATATATCTTATGAAATTATAAATATATTAAAAGTGCCTTATCCCTACAAAATAAACATAGGGAGTTTAAAGGAAGGGGGGCTTATTCTATATTTTGGAAAGCTTAGCCCCTCTCCTAGTTCCGCCCATGACCAAATGTAGTCTTAAAACTGTATTTTAAGAACTTACTTGTCTAAACTGTGGGGAAGTAATTGTATCTTTCAGATTATCAGGTGTCGTTTGACTTGTTGGTGTTGAATCTGAAGCACTTTCTGATGTTGGTAAATGTTGTGCTAACTGACTCAATGCACTTGTATTTTCGATAACACTTTGTAAATTTTCCATATCCATAGCAGCTGACAGATCCACTGTATATTAAAATGAGGAAAATTAATATTGATTACAAAGTATAAAACTGATAATTAAATAAAGAAAATTTGTTTTAGGACCTGGTGGTTTTTCAGTTGTTCCTTGACCACCAGTCAATCCAGATAACATAGATTGAAGGTCTCTCAGTTGTATGCCTGTGGCTCTTTGTTCTTGGCTTTCTAAAAATTATTAATTTAGCTTGATAATTGTATTATAAAATATATAAAATTATTTTTCTTTTATCACCTGTAGGTCCTGTGGTAACACTACTTGTAGGAGGAGGAGAACTACTAGTGGTAGTTGTTCGATTACTGCCACTGCTTGTATTTGTAGTGGTGCTGGTATTTGCAGGTTGAGCACTAGATGAATGAGTTGATGATGATGAGCGCCCTGTTTGACTAGATCTAAGTAAAATTTTACTCTTGAAATATTATGTTCACATACTTTTGTTTAATATTTACCTCATTGTACCAAGCAAAGATGACAAGCCCCCAATTTGACCAACTCCCCCAAACAACTGCATTAATTGTTGTTGAGACATATTGCTTAGTAAATTTTGCAAATCACCATCTGTATAAATAGGTTACATTATAATATACATTTAAGTTAGTATACAGTGTCTCACCATATCTGTCCTCGTTAATAACTTCATTCCTGAGTAATAATTTAGAAATATGATATTGAAGAACAACAATAAGTATTTTTGGTGTAACTTAGATCAAAACAAAAATATCTGTTTTATATATTTCTAATTATATGAGATATCCAATTTATGTAAATATTTCGAAAGTTAAAATACTAGTTTTAATTAAGTGCTCAAATAGATAGGCAGGTGAAAAGGCAGAAGAGAATAATATACAAAGTTAGAATGGTGGGTATGAACGAGGAGAAACACAGTGAGACAATCTGGATAATTGTTTTTGTTATATACATTTATATAATATAAAACCATGGCTTTCTATTCCTCTTATAATATACAGTTTGGGCTTTCATTTTTAGATATATATAGAATTAGTAAACGTTTTATCATTATTTAAAGGGCATAATTTTGCATTTTTACATAGGTAATTACATTTTTATTATTTATTAAGAATAAGTAGATACAACAAAATAAAAGTTAATTGTTAAATTTTCATATGAATAAAAATGAAATATATATTAATTAAGACTGGTAAACAAACCAGGGGTAGTGCCTCCACTACGATTTGAACCAGGTGCTGGAGGGTTGTTCATGACATCATTGATACGGCGACAGTTTTCATCGTCTTTATCAGTTTTTGCTTCCTATAAACATATAAACATACTATAAATACTATAAATGATAAATAAAATATAAACAATTATTATTGATAATATTGTAAATATATAACCTGTAGCCAAAAAAATGACTTTTTGTTTGATGACTTGAATTTCAGCACATAAACTCTTCCAGTAGTACATTGTGGTACAAACTTAAACTCGCAGTCATCGGGGAAAATTATTAAATCCTATAATATAATTTCAGTTGAATAATTTTTATTATTTAGGTAATGGAACTAATTTTTACTTAATCCTAAGAAGCTTGTTAGAATAGAATAAATATCATTGAATATTTAAAATATATCGAGATCTAATTAATATAGGGATTTTTCCACAAGAGTAACTATTTGCACTAACATTAAAAAAAAAACATACATATTTATTGGAAAATTAAATTTTAGGAGATATTTTTTTTTGTAATGGTATTAATAATAATAACCTGGTTTCAACATTAGTATATTTTAAAGTTACATTATTTTATAATTTAAAAAGTGATTAACCAAAAATATTATTATAATTATCATGTAATATCTAAATGTGAAAAGGGTGGGGCCAAAGGTACTAGTAATTTCAAAACAAATATCATAATCAGCAGAAGTTCTACATAGGTAAGTTAGTTTAAAATTGTATTCAATAATTTTAATTTATTTCAAGATGATTAGGAAAAATATATGAAGATATTTAAACATAACCTACAATAATTAATATTTAGGAATGACAATTGACAATGAATACTATACCCATAATTAATACTATTATAATTGTAAACTATATAATACCAAGTAATATGTGGATTTCTATACAATAATACATAAATAGGCAGTATTTTAAATAAAAAACAGCAATTTGATAATTTAGGTACAAAAAGCTACAACTTACATCTTCAACAACACCTGATGTACGATCTTTCCAGCAGAAATGAATCAAAGAGTCATCTGATTGATGAATGTATAATAATCCCTTTCTTTTGTCAGGGTACACCATTTTACCTCTCATGTTCATTTTCCCAGCTTTAAACTCTACAAGATTTTTAGACTGATTTCTACCAGCCGTGTTTCCAAACAATGCAGTTGCTCCCGACATTGTTTTAGTAATATTGAAAATATTTAAAACAACAAATTACAGAAATTATTTTAAAAATATTAAAATAAAAAAGAACAAAGTAGTCACAGGTCAGCAAATGCAGTGAACACTGAACAGTATAATAATTATTACCCGACTCGTAAGTAATAACATATAACATGTAATAAGAAATAAGAAAAATTGCTTTATCACGGTGAACGGGTGAATTATGTGTATGCTATATGCATCATAATAGATAAAATAAAACTATACAGTGCAATCACGAAGTAGATGATAAATTATATTAAGAATTCAGTGTGACCTTTTTCGATAATATTTATACATTTCAAAAAAAATAGCCGGAACACGAAAACGTTTTCAGTTGTCATCGATTCACGTCAAATCGCAACTGTTGTTTGATAAATGAATAAAATGATAATATCTTAAATAAATCCTCAATTCTAAAATACCTGAATAGTGAATAGTGAATCATTAATTTATTGTAAATACATATTTAACAGATTTGCATAAACGAGTGTGGGTAAATTCTCGAGGGTAAATACTAAATATCGAATCTTGTCTACTCTTAACCGCTATAATAATTTATTACTGATGCATACAAAAACATTAAACAGCATGTGTAAACAAATATATACTTTGTAGGGAATCACAAATTATTAATTAAATATATTTAATTAGTTTTGAATAATTGAATATGGTTCGTAGCGGGAGGTAAGTTTTTTGTATTAACATGAATAAGATTTGAATAATATTTAATTTTTTTATTTCAGCGATAGAGTCCACCGTAAACGCTCAAGAAGCCGTTCACGGAGTCCTCGTCGTCATCGTCGCAGTAGTAGATCTCGGTCTCGATCACCTCGTCATAAAATACATAAATCAATGTAAGAACTTATTAATCAAATTTTAAATCCACACATGCATGTACATAGTTTTTAACTATAAATACCACCTACTTTTTTTTTCTAGAAATAAAAGGTTTGTAAATACGAAGCAAATGGTTATAAAATAAATAATATTAAAACTGATCAATATTGTAGATTAATAAAAAAATGAATATACCTATATAATATATACTTCTACCAGTTTTAGTAATATATATTTATTTTTTTCTAGATTTAAAAGGTTTGTACATAGTGATATTGTGATATAATATTTTAACTTCTTTTCTATATCAATATAAATTAATAAATAGGTAGTTAGAAGCAAATACTTAAAATAAATCATTTTTAAATTAATATTATTAATGTATAAAATCAAAATATGAAGTATACATACCTGTATTATTAATAATAATATTTTTTTCTTTCTAGAATTAAAAGGTATGTAAATACTAATATGATATTCTATTTAACCTATTTTTATATTAATAAAAGTAAAATGTTAGGTACCTACATGTTAAAGTTGAGTAATTTAAATGTTTTAATTACTGTAAATTTAAATGTTCTGAATACTTAAATGTCAGAAAATAGTATTTACAACAATATTCTGAGTGCAATGAATTTTATGTATAATTGGTTTAACTAAGGATCTAATAAAATAAAATTGGTGTGTAAGTTGTATCGGCTTGGTATTTCAATATTTTGTGAACTCTTTCTTTTATCTAGATTACATTGTACGCACATAATTAAAATAAATCATTATCTATAGTTAGTTGATGTAAAATAAAATAACTAGTTTACATTGGGCAAACCCAGTTTTAGGCGCCTAACTTATCTTATATTTTTCAGGTTTAGTTGAATATATAAACTAAACAAAAACTTACAAAAACAAATATTTGTTTATTCTGTCATATGTTACTTAATATGAATTGTAAATTAATGCTATATATATTAATATAGAAGAGACAGAAAAAAGTCTAGATCTCCTCGTCGTTCCCGGTCACCGCGTAACAAAAGAAAGTCACCAGAGCGTAAACCTGAAGAAGTGCCTTTTGATCCAACCAATCCAGATAAGGTTTAGATATTTAATATTATATATTAGTCATATTTGTTAATTAGAAAAAAAAATGTTTAAAAATTTACTTTAGCCAACATTAGTTTTTTCTTACTTAACTAAAATGTGTTTTTAACAGATCGTTCGATGGCAGTCAGTCAAAATTGAATATACAGATATATTGTTCATTTTGTTCATTGAATGATGGCTAAACTAAATTTAAGCAAACTTTTTTTTTTCTTAAGTACATGGTAATAATTTAAATATTAAGTTCTGTTTTGATAATAATTATTAAATGTTCTATTCTAGGAAACTGAACAAAAAAAACTTGAATTAGAAATGCAAAAGCGTCGAGAACGTATTGAACGTTGGAGAGCAGAACGGAAAAAAAAAGAATTAGATAGTGTAAAAAAAGATGTTCGAACTACAATCATGTGTAAGTCTTATAAATATATAAAATGTAATTTTAATGTTTTGCATTTTGTCTTGAACAATTCTTGGTCCTTGTGTGGTACCATACCTCAGAATACAAACAGTTGTTTAGTATTATGCTCAGCTGAATTTTTATTACTACATATCCATTAGTGGGTATTTAGTACGCTTATCAAGTAGTCACTCAATACACTTCCTAGCTCTGGTTACAACACACTGTTAGAAATAGTTAACAATATCAATATTAAGATCGTTATAAGATTATAAAAGTTTAATGTCGTTAGAGTACATTATAAATGACAAAATTAGGTATTTAACAAGTTTATTTTCTGGTGTATTATAACGCACAAGTGCCTTATTATTCATTAGTTATAATTTATAATAAGTGAACATTTCATAAAAAACATAATATGAACCATTTACCAAAATGTTAATGATGATAATATTCTTGATCTAAAATAATGAAGTTGTACTATTTTTTATACTTAAACTATGTAAATAAAGCTTGCATAATAACTAAATTTACAATATTATTACTTTCATACTTTAACCATTTAATTACTTAATTTTAGCCAACCTACAAATACCTTCAAAAAAATGGAATTTAGAAGATGATAGTGATGAGGAAGAGGAAGCAAAAAACAATGCCGAGAAATTGATTGAAGAAGAAGAAATTGATCCTTTGGATGCTTTTATGCAGGTAAAAAAAAATTTATTTTGTTCCCATATAACTTGACAAGAATTAAGTATTTAAGCATATATTTTCTAATTGTTAAATTTGAATGATGACATAATTTTTTGAACTTTGATATTAAAAATAAACATTCAACTAAATATTAGGGTAAAAATATTAAAAAAAATTCCAATAGCTATTAGTTATAAATGTATGTTGGCTGACAATTAATCATCATCAATTACACCTAACTTAGGTCTTAGGGTAATCATACATTCTGTTTAAAATTAAATGATCCCTTTTCTTAGTATGATCTCAATAAACGAGACACATTTTTTCCCTAAAGAAAAAACCTATACATAAAAGAAATACAATACTATATATACAGTTTTATATTTAACCCAAAATAAAAAATAAATAGTTTTCTTAGAATGAGTGTTGACTGCAGGGGTGGAGTGGGCGGTCTTGAAATGGAAAATTTCCTGATGGCCTGGTCAGTAGAAGTCTATACATTTTTTTTTTTTTAATTATTGTTATCTGTAAATGTTAGTCCAGGGTACTATACTCTGTTCCACGAGAGATCATTCCCCTACGTCACCCTGCTGTCGAAACTGGTTCCCCTATGACAGGGTGTGGTGTAGAGGAACCAGTTTTGGTCGGTGCGCGGCATGATCTCTCGTGGAACAGAGTATAGATACAGTTATTGAAAGTATGGAAAAGTGTTTTTAAAATTATAATGCATTTTAGTGGACCTCAGAAAAAATGTATATTATGTTTTTAATAAATTGTCAAACATTAATTTATTTGTAAAACTGGAATTACAAGTGAAGCAACTTAAATTTTGTATTTTAATTATTTAAGGGGATTCGATACCAAGATTTTCTGTTTTTGTCTAACACACGCGCGAAATAGTATTTTAGACGTGTTTTTTGCCAAACATACCAATTGATCTAATGAAGCGATAAGAATTCTGAAAACAGATTTGAATTGGTCGTCAAGTCTACTTGAAATCGACTTTCCCACATTTTTGATATTACCTCCCAAATTTTTTAAAAGGTCATATTCAAAAAGAGTATTTAAAAATTCTGTTATTTCAATTTTTGAAGAAGTTAAAATCAAAAAATCAAAAATGTGGGAAAGTCGATTTCAAGTAGATTTGACGACAAATGCAAATCTGTTTTCAGAAATCTTATCGCTTCAATAGATCCATTGGAATGTTTGGCAAAATATACGTCTAAAATACTATGTCCCGTGTGTTAGACAAAAACAGAAAATCAAGGTATCGAATCCCCTTAACAAATGTTTCATAAGGTGGGTGGCCTGGATGAATTATTTTTTCCTGGCCTGCATTTGGTTACCACTCCTTTGATATTGAGTGCTGAAAAACAATTTTCTAGTGTAAATATGTGCCCGTATGATTGCAAAGGTCACACTTTTCAACAACATACTTAGTCTAACTAGTTATTTATTAGATTTTTTTAAATATTATAATAATTGTTGATGGAGCTTAACCTCTTTACTTTTAGGATTCCCCCTTCCTGTTACACTATTTCAATGATATTGATAATAAGACTGGCAGATTTTTTTAAATATTAAAGTTGTGTTAAGAAAATATTGATTAGTTACCAAAAAATAAATCTTATTTGATCTTTAAATAAAAAAATATTCATTTTGTTGTGTATCTTTAAAAACCTCTTAAAATTCAGTGCTATACAAAATATTTGTGAATAAACTGCACTCATTGTATTTATTTGGAGTTTGTAAATGTTAATTATTTTTAAATTGTTAGACAAATATTATTTATTAATTTTTTAAAAAAATTGTGTCCATTTTCATAAGAATCAATTTATTTCAGGGTGTTCAAGAAGAAGTACGTAAAGTTAATAAAGTAGATGGGCATCGAAGTAATTTATCAGAAAAAAATTCATTGAATGATCTTAATCAAAGCCCAGGAGTTGACACTACTAGTTCAGGTGTTGTAATTGTATCTGGAGTAGCAAAAAAAAAAGATAATAACACCAGAGGTGAACTCATTGAGCAAAATCAAGATGCCTTGGAAGTATAATATAAATCAATTCTAAATAAAATATAAATACATGCATACACGTTTAAAAAATTTCTAGTATTCATCTGAGGAAGAACAAGAAGATTTGAATGTAGCTGCAGCAAGTTTGGCCAATAAACAAAAGAAAGAATTACCAAAAATTGATCATGCTGAAATTAGTTATTTACCATTTAGAAAAAATTTTTATGTTGAAGTACCAGAAATATCCCGTATGACTTCTGAAGAAATTGAAAAATACAAAGAGGTAATATTTTAAAGTTAATACTTTTAATGTTTAAATGTATTCTGTATTTCATTCCTCAGGAATTAGAAGGTGTTCGAGTAAAAGGAAAAGGATGCCCTCGACCAATAAAAGTATGGGCTCATTGTGGTGTGAGTAAAAAGATTATGGATAATTTAAAAAAACATAATTATGAAAAACCTACTCCTATACAAACACAAGCTATTCCTGCTATAATGGCTGGGCGTGATCTTATTGGAATTGCAAAAACTGGAAGTGGCAAGACACTGGCATTTTTATTGCCTATGTTTAGACACATTATGGATCAACCTCCTTTGGAAGATACTGATGGACCAATTGGTTAGTATTACATATTGATTAATTGGTCATCTTTTGTATTTAAATTAATTTGGGTTTACATTCAATTCGTTAAAAGATTAAAATGTACAGTCTATATTGTTATTTGTTTACACAAATATTTATTAAGATTTTGAAAAAAAAATGTGAATGCAACATTTTGCAAAATTCCTATTAAATATTTTCTTTTTTTCTAAATGTTTAGTAGTAGTTTACTTTGTAAAGCAATTTAAGAATATGTTTTATTATTTATTCATTTAGCTATTGTTATGGCACCTACAAGAGAACTTTGCATGCAGACTGGAAAAGAAGCACGGAAATTTACAAAGAGCTTAGGGTTAAGAGTTGTATCGGTTTATGGTGGTACTGGAATATCTGAACAAATAGCCGAATTAAAACGTGGTGCAGAAATTATTGTGTGTACTCCTGGCCGAATGATTGATATGTTAGCTGCAAATAATGGTAAGACTAAATAGTAAATAATATATTCTCCAATCACTCAAATAGTTAAATAAATAGGTATGGACTATACATTTTTTAATTATTCTTTTTTTTTTATATATATATATAGGTAGAGTTACTAATTTAAGAAGAGTAACATATGTGGTATTAGATGAGGCTGATCGAATGTTTGACATGGGATTTGAACCTCAAGTAATGCGAGTAATTGATAATGTACGTCCGGATCGTCAAACTGTTATGTTCAGTGCTACGTTCCCTCGTCAGATGGAAGCTTTAGCTAGACGGATACTACAAAAACCTGTTGAAGTTCAAGTATGTTTGTTTTACATAATAATTATTTATGTAAAAATGTAAATTTATCTAAATTTATAGATTGGAGGTAGAAGTGTTGTTGCCAAAGAAGTAGAACAGCATGTAGTTATTGTAGAAGAAGAACAGAAATTCATGAAGTTACTTGAAGTTTTAGGAGTCTATTATGAAAGAGGAAGTTGTATTGTGTTTGTAGATACTCATGAGAATGCAGATACACTTCTACAAAAATTATTAAAAGCCTCCTACCCATGTATGTCATTACATGGTGCTATAGACCAATATGACAGAGATAGTACTATAGTTGATTTTAAAAGTGGTCAAATCAAATTGTTGGTTGCTACTTCTGTTGCTGCTAGAGGATTAGATGTTAAAGACTTGATATTGGTGGTTAATTATGATTGTCCCAATCATTATGAAGATTATGTTCATAGATGCGGGAGAACTGGAAGGTAATTACTAATTAATTTGAAAATGTTTACTATTAGTATTAGTTAAAATTAACAATGATAGTACTTTAATTTTTAAACTAATTGATTTGAATTATAATGTAAAATTAGAGCAGGTAATAAAGGATTTGCTTACACATTAGTTTCACCTGACCAAGAAAGATTTGCTGGTGATTTAATTAGAGCTTTGGAGACATCTAATGTACCTGTACCAGAATCATTGCGTACTATGTGGCTACGTTACCAAGCAAAACAAGCCGCAGTAAGTAGCACTAACTGTTGTATAATATATTATTGATTCCTTTAACTTATAAAATGATTTAAAAGCTGTTCATACCAACGTTTTCATGACATTTTTAAAATTGTATTTTTATCTCTTTAACAGTTAATCATATTATACTCTGAGAAACAATTCTCATGCAGTATCTATTTTTTCAAACACCGTTCTAAAACTAAATTAATTAACTACATTAATTGACCATGGCAAACATAGTTGATTATACTTAATTTACACATTTTTTTTTCAGTTTTACTTAAAATTTTCTTTCGACTAAAAATGTAAATTTAGAATCTCAACTTTTGATACATAAATTACTTAGTGATAATACAAATTATAGTTTATACATTTATCAGAGATCATCGAATTCAAAAAGTTGATGTTAAGCATAAAAAATATTTTTTGTTTTTGATTTTTACTTTTCAAAGTCATTAGTTCCTAAGAACATTAGTTTTGTACCTAAATTCATAAGGTACTATTTTTAAATTACATATAACAACTTACCATTAAAAGAAGTAGCAACAATCTTACATTTGAATAATCAACCAATGTCCCAATACATGGAGAATATTATAAAAATGTATTATATACTTAGGAAGGAAAGCAAGTTCATACCGGTGGCGGTTTTAGTGGAAAAGGATTTAAATTTGATGAAACGGAAGCTGTTATGGCTAATGAAAAGAAAAAATTACAAAAAGCTGCTCTTGGTCTTCAAGATTCTGATGATGAAGACATAGAAGGAGATATTGATCAACAAATTGAAACAATGCTTGCGCCTAAGAGAATTGTAAAAGAAGTAAAAGCTAGTGCTATAGGACTTCCAAATCTAACAGGCTTAAGTAATTATCTTTGTTATTTATTTACAATCTACACTATTTCAGAAAATTAAGCATAAGTGTTAAAATAGTTTTATTCAAATAACAATTCTATAATTTTATTTCATAATATATTTCTCAATTCATGAATAAATTGAATGTTTTTTAGTGGAAATAAATGGAACTCCTCAAGCATCAGAACGACTTGAACTAGCCAAACGTTTAGCTTCACGTATCCATATTGCTAAAAACCTTGGACCAGATGCCAAAGGTGCATCACAACAAACTGCAGAAGCTATATTAAAGGGTGGTCTTGCTAGTTCTCAACCAGTTATCACTGCTAAAACAGTTGCTGAACAATTAGCCGCTAAGTTAAATACTCGATTGAATTACCAACCAAAAGATGATGATGGTGAGAGTGAATGTGGAGATAGTCCTGAAGCAGGGGTAGAAGAAATATTTAGAAAGTATGAAGAAGAATTAGAAATTAATGATTTCCCCCAGCAAGCTAGGTGGAGAGTTACTTCTAAGGTTAGTAAAGACGTTTTATACAATATGTTAATTTGTGTTAATGTAAAATGTTATTTTAGGAGGCTTTAGCACAAATATCGGAGTATTCAGAAGCAGGAATAACAGTCAGAGGTACTTACTATCCGCCACCTAAAAATCCTCCAGAAGGCGAACGTAAACTATTTTTAGCTATAGAAAGTACTGATGAATTAGCAGTCTCTAAAGCAAAAATAGAAATCACTCGTCTTATCAAGGAAGAATTATTGAAAATGCAAACTTCTGCACACCACATGGTTAATAAAGCTCGATATAAAGTCTTGTAATTTCTATTGTATTTTTTTTTTTTTATTAGTAAAGTACAATTATTTATAATTTTTATTCACATGGTTTTAAAATAAAACTTGAGTCTTATTCAGTTGCTTTAGTTTCTTCATAAGCTGAAATTGCTTTCTATACATAAAAAAAAATTATTAATATTAGTATAGAATGCTACTACATAGTAATTGAACATATTACTCACATTAAATGTTTTTTTAACGTGATTTAAGATTTGATTGAGCTCTTGAAAACCGCGTTTGAAAATATCTTCTACGGAGTGACCATTTTTTACTTTTAACCGTAAATAAATTTTATTTTCTGACGGATGCCTTATGGAATAAGCACAAAAATCTGTTTCAGGAAAACTTTCTAAAACATACGTTAATAGAGAACCAAGTGTATGTCCTTCATCTTCAAAAACAAATGTTCTATCTAATTCGGAAGGTCCCGTAATTACATCTTCTTCTAATAATTCCTAAAAAAATATTAGTATACTTTAAGATAATTTTCTATTGATTAATAATTTTACATAATAAGGTTCTTAAAATAGTATGGGCTACAAAGTGTTCAGATATTCACTTTAGCTATGGGCTGTCGCCTGTCGGCATGTGCTCGCATTTGGCTGTAGATATGTGCAACCTATGCGCTCGGCATTGTAAAATTTGATTGATTTTTTAATTCAAATATTTTTAGTAACGCATTATTGATATAAGAAACTGGTCCAGGTGTAAGGCTGGCCACCTTGTCCAAAAATACAATTTATTGAATATTAAAAACACTAATTTCTATTCATAATATAACATACCCAAGCCCGGTGTCGTAACTGGGTAAAAAGCAAGAAGGGCCAAAATAATTTGTTCACAAAAATCAAAACCATAACTTAACTGTCTCGTTAATTGTTTGTTTTTTTACAATCCCTTAAAACTCATTTTATGGCTTATAAATAAATCGTAGATACCAAGATACCCACATCATTAAATAATCACAAGTACACAAAAGTTTATTAAAAAAGGTGCAAACCAGTGTTCGACTCGAAAAAATTAAAGTAGGGAGACCGTTTATTTAAAAAAAAAAAAAGTGTCCCCATCAATTGTTACACATTATTAAGTCTTGGGGCAATGACCCACACTCCCTAATACCCCTTTAAATCATTTAAAAAATATTTATAAATAATCAATTTAAATAAAAAGATGTGAGTTAATATAAGACATAGGTAATAACTGTAGGTGTAGATAATTATATAATGTATAATATTATAGTTGTCATAAATAATAAGTTCAAAAGAATAATAAAAGAAAATTAATAAATAGTTTAGCAATAATTAGTTAACATTAACTAATTTATAGATCGACAGTTATGAAATAATCCATAAGACAAATTATGATAAAAATGCAGAATGATTAAGGCATATAAAGCATCCCGTATGTTCTCCTTAAAAATAATAGTAGGGGTAAGCTAAAATTTCTGAAAAAAACAAATTATAATTATAATATTAAATTTGATATCAAACACTGGTAGATCTAAAAACGATTCTGAGTAATAAGCACGGTTATAGATACTAGCATCTAAAGCCGTGGTAATAAGAATATTCAGTTTAGTATTTGAGTTTAGATGCAATTATTATGTTCAGAGTTCATATTTAGTTTGCATGAAGAAAAAATAATACTTTTGTACATTTTACGTTTTAATAAACACATAATATTATGAAATACTTTTAATTACAATTAGTAAGTATTTTCTAAAATAAATAAATATGAAATATTTGAATTTGAATTTAAAATAAATCATTATTAGTTAGACAATTTGTATATAGGTAGATTTGTTCAACTCACCGCCATAACATGAAATTTATACACTACTGACTACCTAAAAAATTTTAAAAAATGAAAAATATGGAATATCACTTAATGGAATCACTATATCGTGTCCACATTCCACAATAAACTGTCCAGTACTCCAGTGTCCGTACCGCGGACTAAGATAGACGATAGTAAGATATAACCAGACAGTAAATAAAAACCACGGACTAAGATATCTTAGTCCGTGATAAAGACGGTTTATATCACTAGAAAAAAACGGTTTATATCACTTTCATGGATGAAAATATCATATCAGTTTGACTTGGAATAAACAACAATTAACATTATCGCGGGCCACTGAATTTAAAAATATTTAAATTTTTAACATCATATAATTACAATATATACAAATACAATTTCACAACTGACCATTGCCGTACCTGGTGGGAGGGGGGGGGGGGGGGGCGGTTACCCCACCGAAGGCCGAAATGTTTTCAACATATCTTATTTTGGAACAAATGCAGTTTAGTTCCCACGCAGTTTTTTCGATTTTTCCCCCCCCAAAATTAAAGTACATATACCTGTTATGGACCCCCTTCGAAAAAAATTTCTATGGAGAGGGGCCCTTGCAACTGCAAAGAAATTTAAAAATAATTAGACAGTAGGAAAACACATTCAGAGTTCAAAATAAAATGTTCGAATCGTAAACAGAAAAACAGTATAGGGCAAATGATTAGCTCTTAAGAATGATACGGCCAGCACCTGAAGATATCATCGCATAGAACATATCTGTGCAAAAAATTAAACTAGAGTCAAATTCCTAAAAAAAAATTGAAGGGTAGTGTTGGCGCCCGCAGGCAAATGCATTTTAGAAAACCAAAAAAAAAATTTAGAAAAAATTATACGATATTAAGGCATATTGAAGAGTTCATGTAAAACGTCAAAATCCAAAACAGAAAAAACACTACTGCCAATGATCACTCATTAAAGAATAATGATACAGAGGGCACCTGCTTGTTAACAATATTCAAGTCTAATCAAAAACTTCAACTAGAGTCAAATTCCTAAAAAAAAATTGAAGAGGAGTGTTGGTGCCCGCAGGCAAATGCATTTTAGAAAACCAAAAAAAATTTAGAAAAAATTATACAGTAGGAAAACACATTCAAGAGTTCAAAATAAAATGTCAGGAATCTTAAAGAGAAAAAGCAACTGACAATGTTTAGCTCATTAAAGACTGATAATAAATAAATAAAAAACAAATGTATTGAATGGTGCTCGTGAGAGAAACTAAAAATCTTCTTTTATATAGTAAGTATACAGGTACTCAGTGTATTCCCTGGTATAATCGGTTAATGGTTAAAAACGTTTGTACAAAAAGATCTACTAGAGTAAAATGAATCGAAAAAATTAGATTATGAGGAACCCATGTGATTTAACACTAAACAAAAGAATACACTAGAAGGTACATTTTAACTACAACCCAAAAACTAGGTATTGCTTACATTATAGTTATTATGATCAGAGGTGTATCGCTGTAATATATGTATTAGAAAATATATAAAAATTAATGTAATTTATTAAGGATGCAAAATAATTAAATAAGAAAAAGGTCCTTTACGGACTCTACCATGTGATTGTAATTTATGAAGGACATAAAATAATGTTTAATTTAAAATAATATTAAGTTATTTTTTATAGTTAAAAATTAATAAGTATTTAAAATCTTATAAAAAACTAATACAATTATATTTTAAAATACATATTATTATTAGTTTGTTGTGGTAAAAAAATCATTAATTAAAGTTGGCTTTATTTATGTTTTTAATTATACTGGTACAACTCTAGCTGGCAGTCTTTAAGACCGTGTTAAAAACTATGATAATTAGTTAAAGTCTAATTTCCTCTCCTATCCTAACCTAACCTAAAATAACCATTATTTAAATATTTTCTTTCATTGTTATGTTTACAATATCGAATACCTTGATAGTTGGTAGGAAAAGATCATTGCAAAGCTCACGACCAGTGATGATAGCCGTCTATCATCACCATTGGATCCACTAACCATAATAGGTTTACCTAATTAACCCTCTTATGACTTATTAGGACACTTTGAATAAAAAGATCTTGAGTCGGTTGCCGAACTTAAGTGTTTGATTATCAAGTTTTTCCTTTGATTTTTGACACCTTAAGCTTATACCAAATATTATGGATGGAGCCATACCTAGCTCACTTGCTCGTGTAAACAATTTGAAGCACATATATGCCACGTGTCTTTGACATTTTTATGGATACATATCAAATTATGTTAACATAATATTATTTAAATCTATTTTTATTATTACCTAGTATTATTATTTTATAATATTTTTTTATTTTTTTAACACTATAATATATATATTCTTATAATTATTTTTTTAAATTATGTATCCTTAAATACTCTGATATTAATATGTCAGCCACCTTTAAGTTTTCTCTATATAAAAAGTAAATGTAAGACAGAACTGTAACTCAAGTCACGACAGTCTCTCTTTTATACTTTTAACAAAAGAAATGATATAAATACTATTTTTGATCCAACCTAATCAGACGACCACGCACGTCTATCTAATATAACTTATTACTTATTAGTATTGTACGTTTCGTAATAAGTTTTTTTGATCTTGAGCCCAGCAACTTTGACCATTAACTGGTTTTTTTGCTTGTAGGCTGTTTGTAGTGAGTAGTAACGGTTGGTTAAAACACGTTAGTATGTGTGGCTACTATTTGTTGCTAAAAATGCCGGGTGGTCACCCATCCGGGATCTAGTAACAGCGGCCGATACGTATACTTAACACCTTTCCGCAGTAATAATGTCCAGATATTCACACTAAGCCAAAGAATATGATTATCCGTTACTTGAAACATTAGTTTTGTATTTCTCACATAATATTTTTGGTCGATACTATAAGTATTGACGTTAGTACAAATCTTGTACTAAAGTCTCACCACCTAGTGAGCAGGCGACAGGGTACGTCTCTTTCAGAACAATTATCAATTAGGTACTCAATTAATTCTTTAGATTTACAAATGATTTATATTTTGTAGACGGGATCATTTTAAAGAGAGACTGTGCGAAGTACAGAATATTGTGCAGCCAATAAATATGTGGTCTGCTGTGCACATTTAAACATTTGTTATAATATATTATGTATTTGACAATTTATTACAATTTACGACTATTGTACATTAATTTCAATATAGATTTTTTTTTACACTAATATTATAGTATTATCAAAGTCAAATTAGAAAAAAGTTCGGAACTAATTTGGATTTTTATTTTTATTTTAGTTTACACCCACCCCTTGTGTGTATTCCTCCACCCCTCTTCAAAGGGTGGCGGGCCCCTTTCACGGTTTTCGCTTAAACATTTTTAACTTTTCAAGTTACAATAAAAAAACCTATGACCAAAATTAAAGACCATACAATTACCATAGACTTATTTTACTGAGCAGACTATTAGAATAACATTTTTGCAAGGTTCATTGCAATTAGAATGTAGATATTAGTTAAATCAAACCCCGCAGATGTACCAATAACATATGGTATAACTGTACTGAATTAAATGCATTTGCATATTTGTTTGATACACAGTATAAAAAACTATAAGATAATGGATACGGCCAAAATTTGTTTTGGTTTAATTATAGTTTAAATACGAAATCTTATTTAGCGTATAATTTAATGGGTTAGGTAAGTAATTACATGTTTTCTTTTCCACCTAACTAATATGTAAATTAAACATTTATTTTTTTTGTACAAATACAAAATCCCATGTCTATATTTTGGGTTAAGGCATTATTTTCTTAAAAAAAATTGTATTTATCTGTAAATCAGGTCTAAATTGGCTATAATATACATTCATAATTTTTTACAAATTAGAAAAATAATGATACTTAGCTAGTATGTGAATAAAGAATTTTTTTTTGTAAACCATTTAAAATTTGAATTTATTAATTTCAATGGTTTTTAATAATGGCTTTTTTTATAGAGCATTTTATCGAATAATTTTAGTGCATATTTAAAAATTTTTTAGTGCATTCAATTCACAGCCCTGCTTATTACTTTAACTTCCAATCATACCACTACCACAGTTAATGTTAAATATCAACAATTAACAGCTTCTTAAGGAGGGTTCACACTACACCGTGTCGTGTAAAATAATCACGATCACCACAGTTACCAAACGATACACATATATTCAACTATGCGGTATCGTGTGGTAACTATGGTAACCGCGATTATTTTACACGACACGTTGTAGTGCGACCCCCCCCCCATCTTAACTTGATAACACTTAAGAGATGTCATATTTTTAGTGCACTATTTATTTCCATCTCTGACCCACGCACAATCATAAGCGCAACCCCCGAAAACTTGTAATACCACCTCCCAACAAAAAAAAATAAAATAAATTATTCAATTGTTTCGTAATATATTAATAAACTTTTTTAAAATTCAACTGTAACTCTTAATTTTTGTTTTTTAATTAGGTATAGACAGTATATTATTGTGAAGAATTAAACTTGAAAATAAGAAATTTCTTTTTTCTTATAGTTTTTATATTTTCAAATTAATATTTTTATAGTGGTGTGAGGGCAACGCCCTCACGGGTTACTTTTCGTTTAATATCAGCTGGTGATGACTACAGTCTCCAACCGACATTTAAGCAATAGTTGCCCAACTGTTCATTAATTATTAAGATATATATATATTGTGATTTGTTTAGCAGACATTAAATATTATTTTTTTGTGTGTCTTTGAATTAGTTTAATTATTTATAAGCATTTTAAATTTTAATTATTTACACGATAATAAGTCATAACTTATATAATAATTAAAATGTCATAAAGTAGCCAACGTACTTCGCTACTTAGTACGCGTTGGCTACTTCATGAAATCAATACAGATCCGCATAATTTTTTTATTAGGCTATAAGCCCACCCCCTAGACCCCCCTCATCCCCCAATAGCGCCTATGATGTTACCTCGCGTGGATCAAAGATGGAAACAAATAGTGCACTGACATCCCAACCGGCAACCAACCGATCTTTTTATTCTATCCCATACGTCTAGGTTGTAAACCTACCGCCGGTAGTTTAGCCAAAGAGTCGAGTGGCCTTTGCAATTCGAGATCCTTTCCTACGTATTCGGTATTGTCAATCTAACTATTCTACCTTCACACTTTTTCTTCCCCCTTCTCACACAACTATACAGGTTCAGCCACCCGCTTTTCCTGCACCTCCATAATATCATCGGTATTCTATCTACCCATCACTTCTTCAGTCTTCTCACCTCTCACTTTCCCCATACATTTACCTACTTCCGTTAGCTTCTCTCACTACCTCTTATCATCCAGTGAAAGAACCACCTCAACCTAGTCTCTCATGTTTACACTTAAATATATTATGTGTCACTCCTACACTACATTTAATTCATTAATATCTTATTCTATCCTCTTTTGTCCCTTTCACACTCAACTTTACATTCTCATATCTGCTACTCTCACTCCACTTACCTACCCTAACCTAACATTTACTTTTCGCATTTCCCTTTCATACGCCAAACATTCTGAAATCCTAATGACCTCTTTCCTTATCTTCGCCACATCATACACTTCCTAATTCCTATTCGCTCAGTCTCTAGTTACCTACAAGTCATCGTACTTGATTATCGGTGAAAATATTTAAATAATTGAACGAATTATCTACTCAAAAGAATTAGTACTTACATACCAAAAAAGATCATACCTGACCAATTTCCTAATTTTTATCACGACTTTATTGATAGCCAGAATAGTGTTATACCAGTTTAATTACAATACAAATAATTGAAAAGTTTCGGAAAATACATCCGATGATCGATTAACTATAATAAAAAGAAACCTACTGAAAAATAAGAAAATACATACCCCGTGTCCGAATCAAAATCTGCTATAAAACTTAGTCTTCGAAATACTGCAACGTCACACATTTCAGTCTGCTTATGATATATTATTCCCAGTTGACAAATCTTCACTGACGAGTTAAATACCATTTCTGAAATAATACGCAGCCTGCAGCATAGGCGCACATAGGGTGTTAATTTAGGGGGTGCTGGGATAATTTATGGTTCACAGATCCATGGGGGGCAAAGCCCTCCACACCCCCCTAATCCTAATATCTCTGCATTGCATTAAATTTCATTTGTACAGTGTATACAATAATTTCTAAAGTGCAATGTATCAAATAGTCTGTATGATTGTAAAGAAGACGCTAGGTACACCCACATGTGTTGTCTTCGTATTACAGACGTATAGGTACAACATAGGCAAAACTGTTTTGCACGGGTATAAAAAACATTCAGGCTCTACTCTAAGCTAAAAAACTAAATGTTCACACTAGAAAAATGAGAAAATTTACACTGTAACTTTGTTTTTATATTTCCGATATCAAAACCAAAATAAAAGTTATTTAAGTTTGATAAACAAAAAAAGGTGCTCTGCTGTACAGTAGGGTACAAGTGGGTCACTGTATAATCGATGGTATTAAATTTGAATTCAATGATATACTAACATCATTGTATAAGAAAAACGATTCTGAGCGAAGACGGTTAAGTCAGCCTATGATATTACTAAGTATATTTGATGATACTAAGGTGAATAAAGCAATTTATATATAACTTTATTTAAGTAGAATCTTGTTTTAAATTTTCAATCATTAGCTATAAAAGTTGAACATTTTATAAATTTTTAACTATAAAATAGTAGGTTACATAAGTAACATTTTTTTTAGGCTTGGAAGAAGGTTGCAGATTTCTATACATATTAATTATTCATAACTCATAAGTATAGTAACTAATTTGAAGTAATAATTTCAAAAATAAAATTTTCAAATCTATATACGTCAATTTAAACGATACCCATTAAAAAGTACCGTCCGGCGGAAAAGGTTGTTGTCAAAGGATTTACAGCTGCCTCAATAATCTCAATAGCCCCTTAAAACTTGTTAGACAATTAAGAATTAGTGAGTTTAATTAATTAAAAAAAAAAACAATTGTGCTTTAGGTACAATGCGACCCTATTATCGCCTAGACTGTGTGTGTGATGGCCACACATTGGCCGCACCTTCTTCTGAATTCAATAATCGAGATCATCCCCGCTATAACTATAGTTTGTTTACACTTAATACTGGCGTACTCCTCCCAAAGAACTAAAAAACTTCAGTGCAATTAAATAATATTAAAATTGATATCGTCCAGAAGCATGCTTGTTGTGAGCTTATCTATTTCTCTTGAAATATAAATTATATGAATAAAAAATAATTGGCTTATGGTATTTTTCATTAGCTGAGATAAATGTGTGAAGTAAACAATGGTTTTATTTAAGGAAAACAATGTGTATACCATATAACCGTTCTAAAATACCGGTTTATTTTATTTTAATTAATATTTAATTTCCCATGTTCTTTTTTTTAAGCTAATGTATTTAAACAATGAGCGACATGGTAAAATTAAGCTTTGTTATAGTTTTATTTTGTATTTAATTTTTTTTATAGAAAACAGTCTAGAGAAAGTTATCAGGTATAAGTATGTGCTGTATAACATAGTAGATGATGTAAAATAAAGTTTAGTTTCTAAAACAAGTGCTTTAATAATATTTATAAAGGTCTACCTATATACTTACTAAAAATCAATTGAATTAATTAATAATTCAGAGTTCGCTCGTTGTGTTAAAAAATTATGCATTTTAGTTTTGTTTGAACTTAATTGTCTGCTTTGTTATGTTTTTTTTTTATTTTTGTGTGTGCTTTGGTAGAAAAAATCCTACTGTGATGAAGCTAATCGAAAGTCTTCCGCCGTTATTATACCAGAAGAGCCTGTACCTGCTTCTATTCCCATAGATGAATTGGTGAGTAAAATGTTGTATTATATTCTCCCTGTTCCCATCCTCGAAACCAATCGATGAGTTGCTTTTCGTGTATGTACGTGCTTTTATTTTTGTTGCATCTATGTAATTTGTGTATGCGTGTTTATTTGCTATTTGTTTTGTAAAGAAGCGACATTTTGTTGGTGCCGTCAAGAAACAACCATCCGGATGTGAAAACGGAATGACAAACGGTTGTTCGGTAAGTTATAGGTTCTTTAAACTGTTAAACATTTATAACTATTATCATTATTAATGTTATACACTTACTATGCTTTACTCTTTAGTATATTTTTGTCATCTTGTTTTAATAATCACTAATCAGTGAGGTCAAGGAATGTTATTTTAAAATACCTTTAAATATTAGATAGTAGTTACTAATATGAGGCAGAAAGGTATTATACTTAATAGACTGCATGTTAATATTTTCGTATTTTCTTCGTAAATATTTGCTTTTACGAGTAAAAATAATATAATCAAATTTTGGTTTTGGAGGAATTAATCACAAATAAGTACGTATGCAAAGTGAGTACTGAAAACTTATAATATTATATGACTCAATGTTGTCCTGCCGTATTCTTATTACTCAGACGGTCAGACCATTAACGGAAAGATCGTTGACATTGTCGAGTATAATATTATTATGTATAGGTATTGCGTATATCTAAAATTATAAATTATTGTAATAGCCAATAGCCAATAGGTATTCAATTTCAAATTTAAATTGTTATCTATATACCCAGCTAATGAACCCCGATGACTCGGTGAAAATACTGATAATACATCACTGTGATTTCGTCATTGTATTAATATTGGATCTTATAGGAGGCGGAATGTGATTTTTATGTTATTTTATTAATTATTATGAAATATTTTCTCTCGTAATTTTTATAAACTACCTATTTTTGTTATGAAATGTTTCTATAGCCCTGTTAATGTTATAAGTTTAAACTGTTTGCTGAGCTGAGGTATATAACCGGCTTATGTTGTTTTCAATATAAATGTATGACTATTAATTGTCGTTTGGTTTGTATGCGTTTAGTGTCAATCTTTTGAAGTTTTGTTCTACAATAATAACAAAATAAAAATAATAATAAAAATAAAATAAAAATAAAAATGTTGTATTCTATAAAACGGAAAAAACGTCCCCTGGAAAAAAGTCCCTAAAAAGAATAATAGTATTTAAAAAATATAAGAAAGATCTTTTATATCTGAATAAAATAATAAATACATTTTTATACATTTTTTAAATACTATTACTATAAGATAATTTTTTTTAATTTTTAATTTACGATGGGTAAACCACATCTGAATAAATACATTTTTATATTTTTTAGGGACTTTTTTTCCTAATATCCTAAAAAACAGCAATGACCAAAAACAAATAACTGTAGGTACGTGAAAATTTCACTGAATGCTTATATTTTCATTGTGTATAGCATCATAATATTTTGAAAATATTTTTGACTTTTTGAGCTTTTTACGGACATTATCAGTTTTCAATTTTTTTAGTTTTTTTTTTCCATAATTGTCAATAAAATTGTATTTGTTGGGTTAAATTGGGTGAAAATTTAATATAAGGGTCCTGATATATTGTTGCAATAGCAGTTGAAAAATATTAAAAAAGGCATAATTTTTTTTTATAAGTATTTTAAGTTCGAATTTTGACAAAAATTTAAAAATAATTTTGTGGTTAAAAATTTATAAAATGTTTAACTTTTGTATCTAAGGATTGAAAATTTAAAACAAGGTTCCACGTAAATACTAAATAGGTTATAGAATATAAATTACTTTATTCACAATAATATCATCAAATATACTTAGTAAAATCATAGGCTCACTGACCGTCTTCGCTCAGAATCGTTTTTCTTATATAAATATATTATATCATTGAATTCAAATTTAACACCATCTATTACAGTAACCCACTTGTAACCTACTGTACAAGTGTACAACAGAACGACACTCACTTGCCCACCTTTTTTTTTTTTTTGTAACATTAAAGTAAAAGCGAATTTGGAAAAAAAAATATTAATTTGGTTGTATACTAATTAAACAATACACAAAATCGAAAATCCATTTCCTACATAACCAGAAAAGATAATAAGGAATTCAAATATATTTTCAAAATTAAAATCTGGCATTAAGTACTGGGTGAATTTTTTCTTCTGCTTTTTGGGACTTTCATGGCCACATGGGACTTTTTGATTGTTTTCTGATTGCAAAGTATAGTTACTGCACTTATGTACATTGGACGTAACAGATTTTTAAGAACCTTAGCTGTAGCTTACCTTTAATGACATAAAGCGTTCGGGGAACTCACGTACTATAATGAAAATATTGTGAAAATATACGATCCCTTAAAAATGATTCACTTTCAAGTTTCAACAACCTTATAAATATAAATAAATATATTGAACCAACATTTTCTTAAAACATTAGTGCTAATACTTAATACTCTTTTGAACTTGTTTAATTTGCTTTCATCTACATGTATGTTATTAATGTATAAAATATGTCTAACAATATTATAAAGTTCTATGTTTTGAGTAGGTAGGTACCTAAAATATTTTTGTCCTCATCGTAATTTTCGTTTACAAACATATTTTTATGTTTAATTATAGGCGCCGAAGTAATCTGAAACACTTAAACAAAACAACAAATATTATCATTTAATATGTATAAAATAATATATATATATAGAATTATAGAGCTAATTTAACCTTTAAAGAAGTTAACTTTTAAATTATCTATACATTTTACCTAACCTATAAAAAACACACATGTCATAGGTAAAGCTAATTTTTGGCGCCTTTATTACAATTTATTATGAATCCATTCAAGTATATTTTATTACCATTATTTAAATGTTTAAACTTAGGAAAGGTTATAATTTATGTTTATTATTTAATGTATTTATAAAAGATTAAATCAATCTATAAACGTACCTAGTATTATACAGTAAAATTATGATTAGAAAATGAAAATAAAACGATAGATCTATAATTTTTTTTCCTATTTTATAAAAATCTAATGGAAACCTATCCCATTATTTCTGACCTATAATATTCTTTATTCTATTTTACAGTTAAAAAAAATTATTACAATTTTTATATTTTTCTAATTTCTCCTAACTTGTGTTGATTCTTATATAATCAGTTTATATTTATTGAAGGGTTTTGGTATTTTTCAATCTCCTGAAACTGTAGTTAATTTTTTATATACGTACAGTTAACATGAAAATAGTAATTTTTTTAGAAATCAAGTTTTGGGAAATTTGATCAACTGGAAAAAAAAATTATCCTTCAACAAAGATCACCTACAGAATCTGAAAAAATCGATACTAAACAAGTATTTAACTTAAATGCAAATATATTATATATAATATATTTGAAATTCTAAACTAATTGAAATTATTGATAGAATGGTGTTATACGTCCAGAAGTTAATTCTGTATGTAAATTGTAAGTCATGTGAGAAGCCTGTGTATGCCATGGAACAAATAAAAGCGGAACGTCAAGTTTGGCACAAGAACTGTTTCCGGTGCACAACATGCAACAAACAATTAACGTAAACTTAAATATTTTGATTATGTTTTATTAATTGAAGAAAAGTTAATGATTTTTGGCCTTTGATTTTAGACTTGATATTTATAGTAGCCATGAAGGTATATTGTACTGTAAACCACATTTCAAGGAGTTATTTAAGCCTAAAGTAGTAGTTGAGGACGAAGAACCAAGTAAGTTGTTAATACACTGTTAACTGTTATATTTATTTAAAACAAATAGATGGATCGTGAATATGCTATCGAGCCATCGAGGCATATAATAATGTAATAATAATTTTAAGTAAATAACTTTAATATACTTTAAAATATATTTTATGAGATTTTTCTCGTATAAATTCAATTTGAAAATAATTACAACTGTTTGTATTATGATTTTTTCTATAAAATGTTTGAACTGCTATCATCATAGTTAGACGCAAGAAACCAGAAATGATAATACGTGAAAATCAGCCCTTGGAATTACCGCCTGACGTGGTTAGAGGTATATAATTGGACAGTATAAAGTATTATAAAGTATAAACCCATCATAACGTGTGTGGTGTGTGTTGTCTTTATAGGTTTCTCGTATTTGTTTCTGTTTGGTTTTTTAGATTTTAAAATTCCCCTAATATTTAGTCGATCCCCGCCTTATACAAAACATTTAAAAATGTTAAAAATGTAAACATATAAAGTTTTACTAACCTTAATACCTTAATCCTCATATTTATATAAATAAATAATAATACTGTTTTATATCGCTTATTTTTTACGTAATCATTCTATATCTCAGGAAAAATATATAATATATTTTGTTTTGAAACCCTGAACTACATTTACACTGTGTATTTTAATTATTAATACCCTTCGTACCCTCATTTTATATCTCCGTCTTACTTATGCATGAATGCATAATAATTTTACTTAAAAAAGTATTAAAAATCAAAAGTTGATTCTGGTTTAACATATTACGGGAAGGAGATAAAAATATTGGTAATTTGTTAACTTGACGGTAACACATTAAAGAAAATATACAAATACTTTCCAAGATATAGACTGATTTACATAAAAAAAATCACAATGTATGTGTTATAAAACAATCAATTTGTTTCCAATTTATTAAAACATTTAATTTGTCATCCGTCTTGATTTAAAAAGAATTAACCATTATAGTTGTAATGGCGTAGTAATCAATGTTTTATATTTTTAGCCAGTGATAAACCGGATTTGGGCTTAGAAGAATTGAGCTCTTTAAACGTGAAATCCCGTTTTCAAGCTTTTGAAAACGCCACCACCAATGGTAATAGCCACATGGAAAAATCTCCAGTCAGTGTTAAACGTTCACCAAGTATATTGAGTAAATTAGCTAAGTATGTTTTTTTATTTAGCTCTAAGAGGACACTTCATCCTCATTTGATGTCTTTGAATCAATGTAGGTATTATGAAACTTAATGGTAAGAAAATTATCTGCGTTCGTTGGTCAGTATTTTACAATAATTCAATTTTTAAACGATAATCATTTTAAAATGGTGCTATTTTATGTACGAAAAACTCTAAAAAATTGAACTATCATAAGCCTGAGTTACGAACACAACTAATGTTCTTACCATAAGTTTCACATTAAGTCGATCTATTCTAATTTTTGAAATTATGAGGTTGATTGTACATTTGCTATGTTACACAGTACGCACTTGTAAGACAACAAATGTGGGTGTAGCGTTTTTCTTAACTAACTACAGATTTGTCTCTCATATACTTATCAAAAACAATTATATTTGTTCAAATAGATTTCAGTCGAAAGGAATGGATGTAGGAGTTTCCAATGATGATTTGAACGGTGCATTCTTTGAGCCCTCGTCAAGCAGTGATACTGAAGATGAAGATACCGGGAATGATATGTTAAAAAATAGTATTTCTAAAGAAAAACCAATGAGTTTTGACAAAATGAAGTCTTTTAAACGTAACTGGGAAATGCGCCGAGAAGAAATGAAAGAGGAACATCAACAAGAAATACAAAACATAGTGTCTAAATTATTTGCGGTAAGTCAAAGAAAATTCATTGTATTAAAATACATATTATATTATACAATATTCATTGTGTTCTATTATTGATTTTATGATAGTTTTAACTGTCTTAAGGATTGATGACCCTAAATAATAGATTGAGTTGGGCTTACAATATTACTAATTTTTTATACTTAAGAAGATGTCTCATCCGCATGTGTTGTCTCCGTTTTACACAAATACAACTTAATATTTTTTTTTTGCTAGTTTCAATAGGGTGCTGTCGTTTTTAATATTGGAGTGAATTGACCTATTATCAATCTTTTAGGTAATAGCATTATCTGTGTTCTCTTGTTGTTTTTTTTTTTTTTTTAATTCTTAAGTGAATTATCAGTATGTAAAATATTAATATTTGAGAATGTTTATAACTCACTTAAAAATTAAAAAATTGTAAAAAACCAACGAGAGAACACAGATAACGTTGTTACCTAAAAGTTTGATAATAGGTCAATTCCCTCTAATATAAAAACTGATCGGGATAGTCGAATTGCACTTATTACCTACAAACAAATGGTCGAATTGCACTCGGGTAAAAAAAAGGTAGTGGTCGAACTGCACTCGGGTAAAAACCAGGTAGTGGTCGAACTGCACTCGGGTAAAAACCAGGTAGTGGTCGAACTGCACTCGGGTAAAAACCAGGTAGTGATCGAATTGCACTTGGGCATTTGAAGGGGTTAGGGCTAACACTCATTTTCCTTCCCACTTACAGGCTTAGGACTGACAATGATTTTAATCATTGGCGTGGTTAAAAATGATTGTTTTAGACATCACATTATGTTAATTATATATATTTACATTATAATTATTCTATTATACATCATATTATATTTTATTATACTATACATATTATTGTTATTATAAAACATTTTTTTTTTTTTTAATCGTCAAATTTAAGTATCGTCATTATTATATATATATTTTTTTGTCCTTTCGATTATTTTTTGTAGTAATGACTAACTGTATTCAAAAATTCTAGCCTGGTAATACGCTTTTGAGTATATAAGTCAATATATTTTTCAATATTATTTATTTTTTTCTGATACCGTGTCGTTGATGGTCTTGTGTCAGTATTCTGCATTAAAATGTAGGTATCGATTTGTAATTGAGTTAAAACATCAATGAAAACAAATATATTTGGATGTGGCGATGAAAATAATTTATTGAACTTCGCGTGGAAAGACTCGCATGCATTAGTAGTTCCTTGACTAGAAATCGTATCTGAAGCCCAAATATGAGGCGGAAAAAGTCCTTCGTCAGAAATATAATTATCAACTAAATAGTCACTAAAATCTTGAACTGCTTGATTTTCTGGGATAGTTGACATAAAATCTTCTGTATAAGAATCGCCAACTTCAACTGCATTTAAAAAACTTAAACCAAATATATTACGAAGCCATTTTCCAATTTCATTTTCAGATTTGTAATCAGTTGAAAGTCCTAAATTTTGTATTTTACGATACCATGATTGTGATAAGTGGAATCTACAACCTATTATTTTACTTAAAGGAAACATTTCATTGATTGCATTATGGATTGCTTGCTCAAAATCTGCTACAAATAAATTTGGTTTAAAAATTAAACCAAATTCATTGCACTTTTCAGTAATTATTTCAAACATTTTTTTATACGTATCTATAGTTTTATTTGGGAGCAAAGCGAATATTAATGGTACATAATAATTATTGTGAACTGTATGTAGTGTGAACATTTGATAATAAAATTTTGGGCAATGTGAAAATGTGCCATCCACAAAAATAATCGTTTTTTCACATATATATTTTAAATTTTTTTCTGTTGAAAATATTATAATGTTATATGCAGAATTGTTATCTAGTAAAAAATCTTCATCAATATTTGTTTTAATTTCTAATTTGCTAATAGTGTCATGTGTGTCATTAAGAGATTTTGGTAAAATCGGATAGTTTTTCCGGTGTTCATGATATATATTTTTTCGTATTCGATTTATGTCGTTACTATTTAATAATTGTGTTAACTCTACTGGAGCGTTAACAATTTCTTCCCTAATAATTTTTAATGGTTTATAAATACCTTGGTCAGCTGCTTTTCTCTTTGCTGAATTTGAAATCATTTTCCGAGGTAAATTAAGTGGTTTTTCATGGTTGTGTATTAACTCACATCGAAAAATTACTTTAGAACATTCATCTAAATATAGTTTTGAAAGACAACCACGATGAGTACAACGCCATTTAACACCATCATTTACATGTTTTTCTTTGTAAAACGAATAATTTTGGTACACGATTAAGTCACGGCCTCGCTCACTTTTAATAATTTCTAAATTGTTCATACTTACACCGCGACGTAAAAGTGTGTACTAACCTAACCTTTACATAGGTCTACATAGTACACGGTATACAATATAAGTATTAATCTTATACTTTTATTGATAACTACCTATTTATTATCCAGTTAGGTTAGATTCTTTTGTCGATTTTTGGTGACAATAATATTATCTGCGTTATCTAAATGGCATGAACTAATATATATATATATATATTGTTATTAAATAAGTACGCCGTAGCGTTTTTCAATATAAACATCAAGCAGTTCAAGATTTTATTGACTATTTAGTTGATAATTATATTTCTGACGAAGGACTTTTTCCGCCTCATATTTGAGCTTAAAATATAATATAATATAAAGTATAATATAATAATTATAGGAAAATGAGTGTGAACCAAATGTTTAACCCCTTCAAATGCATGATAATTTTATTGAAATACTTTTTGAGCCCAAGTGCAGTTCGACCACTATCTGTTTTTTACCCGAGTGTAGTTCGACTATTACCTTTTTTTACCCGAGTGCAGTTCGACCATTACCTTTTTTAAATCCAAGTGCAATTCGACTAAAATAAGTGCAATTCGACCATACCCAAACTGATAGCACCCTATTGAAACTAGCGAACGAAAATGTCCTATGGCATACGCGAGTAAGACGGAGACAACACATGCGGGTGCGACGTCCTCTTAATAACTAGTGTTAATATTTATTAGAAATTAGAGTAGGAATTTTTAGTTTTCATACTTATTATTAATTAAAAATACCTGTATTAATTTTTTTAGGGAAAACAAGGAAAGATGAAACAAATGTATGAACAGGCTGTGGCTGAAAGTGAACGTACTGGTGTTAAACGAGATATAAATATAAACAAATCTGACAAAGCCAAAGTAATCAAGGAGAAATTTGAAAGAGGCGAAATTGTAAACACTGAAAGTGATGATATAGATGAAAACAGTATTAGTGTATCAGTAAATGATGATGAAGATGAAATGAGTGTTTTTGAAGCGGGTATATAATATTATGTATAATATATAATATATATTAATATATTATGTATATTAATTTTTGTGTTTTGTACTATCTATTGCTTTTAATTTTAGGAATCTCTAAGAAATCAAGAAGGCTGTTCATGGAATTGGATGCTAATGCTGTAAAGACTAAACAAGCTGCACCAATTGTGAATACTAAAAAAGAATATATTCCTATAAAACAGGTATATGTAGTTCAAAGTTTATGTTTACCAGTAATTATATCTTAGTTTTAGTGAGAAAAGTTATTTACACTTACCTACTTAGTATCTATATTATTATACACTCCGTTCTCATGTTATTAATTTTTTATACGTAATGTTTCAAAGATTAACAAAAATATTAAGTATTTAATTTGTATTATAATATGCCCACTAATTTTTAATGCTCTTAATTATTATAATTGTTATACCCTATTTTATGTATGTGAATATGTATACAAATGACAGGTTACACCAATATACAGTCGTCAAGTGTCTGATGATGTGGTCAAATGCAGTGACCGCATCGAGGACGTTTCTGTGGAAACAGCTGAAGTTTCTTCAAAGTTTAAGTTCTTTGAAACATACAAGCCTCCTGCAGTCATTAAGAAACAATTCAGAATTACACCCCCACGAGAAGGCCAAATTAAGGTTTTCTATCTGAACTTATCTTATTGGTTATCCTAACTATTCCTAACTTAACCACTAATCATTTAATTAACTTTCTTATGCCATTGTTACACTTACTGTGTATTTATGAATTTGTATTAAAAGAGTATATGTTACCACCTAATAAAATTACTGTAAGTAATTTAAAGAGGATAGTAAATGTTAACTGAAATAAATTCTTCATAATATAAAGAAAACTAATAATTAATATTCTTTACTTTTAATACATAGTATAAGATTATCAGCGCTGTTTGTAGTTGGTATATTAAGATTTAACCTGTAAAATTACTAGTTATGATTATAATTTATAATAATCTTTAGTATATTAAATATAATATTTTTGTAATATAAAACCTTTTTTTGTAAATATAAAAAATAGAGATCATGATCCGTAATTTGTTAGTTACTTGCCTATTTCATCTATTATAATTATATTATAAGCAACAATATTTAACAAATGTTTTTTATTTATTATTCATTTTAATTTAATAATATACATGTATGTTTTTACCAAAATTCACAAATAAAATGTATATTGATTATAGTTTTCAGTTTTATTCATAATGATTAATGAATAAACATTAAGTTTTTATTTGGTCATAGTCTCTATTTATTAAGTAGAATATAATATCAAAACATATTTTAATGGTGTAACATTATTTTAATATAGTATATTATTGTTTGGAGATAATAGTTTTATACTTCCCAAATCATAGAATAAGTAATACCAAATTTATAGCTTTAAAACGTCGGCTTTAATAATATGCATTATCTTTGATAAAAATGATTACATATTGTGTATGAATTATAACATTCAAATAATGTTCTAATTTGTTTTAACTAGGGAGAATCTCCAGAACGTGATATTTACCGCGATCCAAATGTGGTGCGCAGTGAAGACCCAGTTGATGAGACAGCGGAACTAGTCAAAAGTAATACGACCGCTAAGATGTTATCCTTGTTTAGACAGATGGAAGTTGCCAGACCAGCTGTACCTGAAGGTCTTAAACCACTTAAACGCTTTACTCCTCCACCACCAGACCTTAAGGAATCAGAGACGAAATCAGAATCTGTTGATGATGTGAGTGGGGAAGATGATAGCGATGAAGAATCTTCAAGTAGTGAAACCAATGGTGATGTTGTGAAATCATCCCTAAAAGTTGAAGACGAATTTTTGAAAAATGTAAGATTATCATATATTTATTATTTGAATTTTTTTTTATATTTAACTACTGATTTAATTTTTTTTAATTTTTAATACTTATACTATTATGTTACTATGATGTTGGCGCTGTTGTTATACACTTGTTCGTTGTATATCGTATCATATTTGTGTATTTGTGTGTGATTAAAATGTATTTTATATGTTTGCCGTTTTTTAGCAAGATCACGACAGCCACGCTTTCACGCTCTGCGAATCTTGCAAAAAGAAAGTGTATCCCCTGGAAAAGGTCGAGATTGAAGGCAGACCGTTCCACAGGTCGTGCTTCAGGTGCACGCAATGCCAATGCGTCTTGAGGTGAGTGAAATATTTTTCATAATATCTTTACTGTCGGACACTCAGACGTAGACTTTTTGTTTGTATATAATTTATAGTCATTGCTCTACAGTCTACACGTATAATACAAAAATAATATTTTTTATTTTTTAACACTGAGAATAAAAAAAAGCCAATTTATAAATCGATTTTAAGAACAATTTTTATGGTAAAAACATTTATCTAAGGTAAGTAGTTTATATTTTAGAATTTTTTCAAATGACAATATTTTTTAAGTAAATTAATTTAGAACGTAATAACTTTATTAAAAATATTATTTTTGGTAATTTCTTGACATGATTATAATTCTTAAATTATTTATTAACTATATCATTTTCACAATTTTTTCATACGTGAAATGCTTAATTTTAATTTTTTTTTTTTGTCAAGTCTGCACGCAGTATTATAAAGTTTCTATTTTTAAACCTACACATATATTGTAGTACCTATTAACGTATCTTAAAACCAGAAACTACCGTGTTTAAAGGATGTCACACCCGCACGTATAGCTTCGTCATACAAAAGTACAAAGTAGGAAAAACTGTTTTGCTCGGGACAACTTTTATCTTTCTGTGTTTGTAGTAGTGGTTCCAACATTCTGAACATATAGGGTGGAAAATTATCTATGCAATAGCTTGCGCATATTTTAGATAACATAAATTCAATAAAAGTTATTTCCTTCCAAACATATGGTTTTTTTGTTTTTTTTTTTTTCATTTGCTTATAAAAAATGATTGGATAGTGCTATTGAAAAAAATAGCACTCTGTTACACAGATTAAGTTCTTCTTTACGTATTGTGAAAATTTGGTAGTTATACACCAAATATGGTGGGAGAAAAGTATTCCCGGACAAAACAGTTTTTGCTATGTTGTACATTTGTAAGACGGAGACAACACATGCGGGTGTGACATCCTCTCAGGGCCGGAGCGAGGGGGGGTTTAAGGGGTCGTCACGACCCCTCACTCATTTAACCTAATATTTCAGTCGGCACATTAACACATTGTCAAATACAACAAAAATATGTATAAAATATAAAAATACAAAAAAAAAAAAAATTAAAATAAACCAATTAATTCCTATGGCTAATGAACTTTGTCGTTTGGCATTAACATCACCAGTTACCACAGCTTCAAATGAACGATGTTTCAGCAAGCTAAAATTAATCAAAAACCATTTAAGAACTACTATGACCAGTTCCCGATTAAATGATTTGATTATACTTGATTCTGAGAAAGACATTTTAGATAATATTGAAATGACAAATATGATACAAATATGGCATCGTTAAAAGAAAGAAGAATTTCGGTGTAATATATAATTATTATATATATAATTTTTTTATAATTTTTGTATTTGGAATGCACATTCTGACAATGTTAAATGATATTTTGTAAAATGTAATATATTATAATACTTATTTGTTATAAAAAATAGTTATTGTTTTATGATGCATTGATGCTCATTTAAAATCAAAATAGATAGAGATACTAAAAAATCAGTTTCGATCAAAAACTCTAAGTAAAAACTAAAAAGGCAATATTGTTGGTAAATAGTGATTTAAATAATTGAAAAATGTCTCTAGGATTTTGTTTATTCTTTATCATATGATACAAAAACATTATTAGTTTTATTGTTTTATTTATAAACGGTTTGACAAATTTTTACTCTGGAACAATATCATAATTAATAGTGAATATTGAAAAATATGTATAAAAACATGCATTTATCAAGATTTTATACTAAGTTTTTGCTCCAACATAGTATGGAATTGTCGAAACAAAAACTTGACATTTTGAGTGTCGCAAAAATTTTTTTTTAGTGTTTTATAATTATGCATGAATTTCAGTCGTCACTTTCGTTAACCACGACCCCTCACAAATATTAGCTAACGCCGGCCCTGCATCCTCTTAAGCATAACAATTCTAGATTAAAAGCGGGGATCTAGTCTTTGGACTTTGGTATAGTTGTAGGTGTGTAATAGTTGTGTACAAATTAGAAATTACTAGACATGTTCTATTTTACTGCAGTTCCTAATTCCTATACGTTGATGGTTGATCAGCATTATTGAAAACATTTTGAGTATTCTGGTTAGGGGAGTACCCCAGTACTCTACCTCTAAGAGACGACTGTGGTCTTTATGTTATCCTCGCAAATGATTGTATCAATATATGGTTTAGACAACTAGGATTGAATTAAAAGATTGAAAATTTAAAATCATACATAAATATCCTTTTAAATTCTTTCGTTATAACTTGTAAGATGTAGGTACCTAGGCTTTATTTTAGATTTTAAGTGGAACGATGAATGTATTGATTTTACAATGATATTTGTTTTTTTTATTTTTTATTTCATTTTTTATTATTTTTAACTGTTTAGGGACATTTTCATTTTCCATTTTTTTTTAGTTTTTTTTCTAAAAATATCAATAAATTTGTTGGTTAATAAAGCCTGGAAATTTAATAGAAGGCTCCTAGTATATTGTTTCAAAGGCAGATGAAAAATATTAAAAATCCTTAGTCACAGTTTTTTTACAAGCATTTAAAGTTCAAAAATTTACAATATATGGAAAAATCACGAAAATTAGCAAATTATTTCGAGTTAAGAATTCGTAAAAATTTTTCTTTTTAAATCTAAGATTTTAAAATGTAATACAAGATTCCTTATAAGATTTTCTACATTTATCAAAAAAACAAATTTTATAAGAAAGTCAAATTAAATTTTTATGAGCGTTTGAAATTCAAATTTTTACAACATTGGATATTCACAAGATATTTCTCATGTAGCGATTTCCTTATTTTGTTGTAATTCAAAAACAAATAACTGAATGTTCATAATAGAATTTCCTATACACTGTAACATTTTGAAAATATTTTGACTCTTTTTGAGCTGTTTACGGACATTTTCAGTTATCAATTTTTTTAGTTTTTTTTTTTTTTTATAAATATCAATAAAGTTTTATCTGTTGGGCCAAAAAGTGTAAACATTTAATACAAGGCCCCTGATATATTGTTGCAATAGCAATCGAAAAATATTAAAAATACATAGGCACAATTTTTTTTTATAGGGATTTAAAGATCGAATTTTGACAAAATTTATCAAAATCTCGAAAAATTTTAAACATTGTAATTAATAAATTATAAAATGTTCAGTTTTTATAGCTAAGTATTGCAAATTTAAAACAAAGGTTCTCATAAATAGTTCATACTGTAACCAAAAAATCTAAAAATAAATTAACACAGTTATTTAATACTATAGATATGTACCTATATAATATGTCTTAAACCTAGACTGACATACCGTCTCCGCACAGAATCGTTTTTCTTATACAATGATATTATATCATTGAATTCAAATTTAATACCATCCATTATACAGTGACCCACTTGTAACCTACTGTACAGCAGAGCACCTTATATATATATATATTATCAATTATATTCCTATACCTACACAAATCAAAAGTACCGATCCTTTTTGTATAAGCAATCGTCAATTATTAATTACTATGATTATCTGTTTATTCATCGTATTTTAATTGTATTGCTACCGAATTACGAATAACAATGTTTATATATCGAACACCAAGTAACATTGTAACAATGACAGTAACAAGTAATTACAATTTATATATAGGCGTAATGTAAGGAAAGATCTAAAGCAGCTTTTATTAACATCTAGAAAACGTACGGATAGTGTAGGTACCTATATGGCTATATAGTACCAATAGTATAATATAGTGTATAATAAAAAACAACTACCTACATACATAATTGAATATATTTAATAGATGGCTCCTAATTTATTGTTTCAAAGACCAAATAAAAAATATTAAAAATCCATAATTACAATTTTTTTTTATAAGCTTTTAAAGTTCAAATTTTGACAAAATTTATTAAATTTATAATTTAATAATTATTTTGTAGTTCAAAATGTATAAAATGTTCAACTTTTATATCTAAGGATTGAAAATTTAAACAAGGTTCCATGTAAATAGGTTATAATATATAAATTACTTTATTCACAATAGTATCATTAGGGGAGAGTGGGGCAAGTTGACGATGTTAAGGTTCAGTTTTTTTTTTTAATGTAAATATTTGATGTGAAGATGTGAAATTTTGTATACACGTTGTATTAAATATTTAGAATCATTTAAAAAAATATTAAGAGTTTATATTCAATGGTTTAGAAGTTAATTGAGTTCAATTTTATTTTTTCAATTTCGTCATCTTGCCCCGTGGCTGGGGTAAGTTGACTTTGTACCGGGGCAACTTGACTATATATATTAGAAATAAGTTTCATTACTTTAAAAGAGTTTTAATATTCATCAAATGACATAATATTATAGTACATAAATCTAGTGGATATTGTATTATTTATACTGTTTTTAATAATTGTACAAAGTCTAAAAATAAACAAAATAAACAAATAAGAAGAACATATAAGTACCTATGAAGGTAAATGCATCTTTAATAAAAACAAAACAACTTTCATACATTAAAAATAAATGAATTGAGCAATTTTAAAACAACTTTATTAGGAACTACTTATACCTATTTAACAAAACTGAAAATATAAACATAAAATAATGCACCTTTAACAAAATCAAAACTTATAACTTTTACGATTAAAAATAATTTAATAAAATTTATAAAAATAAATTGTACCTTATGAAAAGAAAAACACTTATGAATTATTACAATTTAAGTCCAATGGTAAAATGGTATCTAACTATACCTTTATAAAACAAAATCTATTTACATAAATCACATATAATCGATTTATAGTCATCTACACCTGCACATATTTCATGACCCCATCTTTCACATCTCATGCAACGAATCCACTTTTCACCATTTGCATCATTTTTTTATGGCTCTGTACAGTACATACACTCTTCTTCTGCTGAATCTTCATCATCTGTATCAATGTATTGTGGTTCTTCTTCATCTGATGAAGATCTAGCAGAATTTTTCTTGGACGC